AACATAAGGAGGGAGACAGATCGACCGCTACAGAGATACAATGATGCCTCCAAAGGGGAGCTGACCTCAACAGAGATATGACATTATGTATATGTCGCGAACAGACGGTATAAGTTTACAACTAATGGAAGTGTGTGTTGTTGTCGGGTTTTCTTGCTGCTGTTGTCGCTTTTTTTCTTGCTTTTTTTTGGGGGGGGGGGACGTCTGAGACAGGAGCAAAATGTCCATTTGATTCATAATTCGCATCAACCGGAGTCCGTCAGATTTTCTTTTATGGAGTGGCAAAAGCAGCCATTTTAGCACAACACGACCGAAATCACGACCGAATTCAACTAAAACCTTCATAATCAAACATGCTTGTTTTTGCAGGTCATGGGTGGAACCGGCCGTAACCATCAGATGATGAGAACAGCCAATCACAGGGCTAATGTAGTGTGAACGGAGAAACTTTTCGTCGCTACCCTGACTCGAACCCACGACCTACTGAATGAGAGGCAAACACGATAACTTCTAAACCACGAGAGCACCCCGATAATACTTGAAAATACGAATTAACATCATTCATCGTCATTTCACCTCAAGCCCCTGCCCCCCCAAACTTGAGTTACACCGAGGAAAGAGAAGTAAAAGCTAACTCCAATAAATGCTTTATGATATAGCACACCCCTTTCAACACTGCAGTGCAACAGAAGCCGCAGATCTCCACATACTGTATAACATGACCATCTCCGATAAGACGAAGCAAAAAGGCGGAAAGTATCTTTAAATCCCTCCAACTAACCAGTCCAAAATCACAGCATTTTGGGTAGTTGAACCAAGATCAATCGCATCATGGCCGAGCATAATAGTAACTCTTAGTTTCAGTAAAAGTTTTACGGCACTTGCTACACAATAAGGTCATATAAGGGCCGAAGATTAGAGATGTTACAAGAGAGTAACAAACACAAAAAAGAAGAAGGAAAGATCAGGACAACAGACGTTTGGAAGGAAAGAAGGAGCAAACCACACCAGAGCACCCTCCAACCACCCACTAATAGTAACTCAGTAAACGTCATGCCCTGTCAGGATATGCCGTATGGCGAACCTTTGCATCACGTGGTAGTACGCTTCCAAAAAAAGGACGCCTGAAGCGGCACAAACAGCCCGCCATTAGAATAATAATACGTGAGGCAGCGTGGTGGAATCAGGCTCTCGTCAATTTTTAGGCATGTAGAGTTATTGGTATCATCTTAAAGCTTGTTCACTTGTCTTTATTTGGATGAAAAAATATCCATTTATCTTGAATATAAGTCTTGATATTTGCAATTGAAGGAGCTGGGGGGTCACCTGTTTTCAGAGGTAAAATTAGTGAGAAAATGGCCGCAAAAGATTAGTTATTTCCTTAGCTTAAGAGTCCGTGGTAACTGAAAATTTACTTTTTTTGTGCCTTTAATCAATGTTTTTCAGAAAATCCACACAGAAATGAGTTCTTTAATGAGCCTGATAAAAATTCACAAACCTGCGGAAAAATGCAGGGTTTTTTTTTACTTTGAGTATTTTGACGAGAGCCTGATTCCACCACGCTGCCTCACATTTGCTGTTTGAGAAAAGTATGCATACGTGGCCCCGTCATACCCAAAACCATGAAAGGAACAAATAATAAGGTCTGCGAACGCAATCCATACTCTAATAATGCAACCTTTGAAAGGTCAAAACTGTAACGTGGACAACAAGAGTTGAAGGTGAAGGCGTAAAGGGAGTGAACATAATAACATCCGGAGTACAATAAATGCTCACGAAAGAACACTTAAGTACTTATTTACACAGACCAACAGACCGACAGACAGACAGACGCACACACACACACACACACACACACACACACACACACACAAACACACACACACACACAAACACACACACA